GGGTGTCAGTGACCCCGAAAGTTGAGCGTACTTAGTTGGGAAAGGCTGACAACAGTTAAGGAAATTTGCAGTTTCCTAGGGATGGCAGGTTATTACCGCCGGTTTGTCGAAGGGTTCTCTAGTCTAGCAGCTCCTCTAACCCGACTCACAAAGAAGAATACAAGGTTTGAATGGAATGAGAACTATGAGAGGAGTTTTTCAGAGTTGAAGAAGCGACTGACTACTGCACCAGTGCTGGCTCTACCGAGTGGATCAGGAGGGTACACAGTTTATAGTGATGTCTCCTATCTGGGCCTGGGTTGTGTCCTAATGCAGCATGGAAAGGTTATAGCATATGGATCTAGACAGCTAAAGAATCATGAGAAGAACTATCATACCCATCACTTGGAGCTTGCCGCCATCATACACGCCTTGAAAACCTGGCGCCATTATTTGTATGGAGAGACCTTTCAGATCTACACCGATCATAAGAGTTTGAAGCATATCTTCACCCAGAAGGATCTCAACATGCGTCAGAGAAGGTGGATGGAGCTCCTCAAGGACTATGATTGTGACATCCTATACCATCCAAGTAAGGGCAACGTGGTGGCTGATGCCCTCAACAGGAAAAGTGCAGGCACCCAGCCCATCTGATGGTTTCAGAATGTAGGTCCATTGGGGCTACACAACAGGTTCGCCTGCGAGACCTGAAGAGAGTCACATGTTTGGGCCACCTAGCAGTCCAACCCGAGTTAATCCAAAGAATAAAGGAAGCCCAGTCAGCCGACCCCGCCCTAGTAACCCGCAAGAAGAGTGCAGAACAGGGAGTGAGCTCAGAATTTCAGATCTCCGCCGACGGATTAATTCGTTTCAGGGACAGAGTGTGTGTCCCAGACGACAGTGAGTTAAGAAGAGACATCATGACAGAGTCCCATAGTTCAAGGTTCGCCATGCATCCAGGAAGTACGAAAATGTACCAAACTATGTGACCTCGGTTCTGGTGGAATGGGATGAAGAGAGATATAGCCGACTTTGTATCTAAGTGCTTGGTATGTCAGCAGGTCAAAGCAGAACATCAACGCCCGGGCGGGTTACTTCAGCCTTTACCGATTCCAGAATGGAAGTGGGAACATATCACCATGGACTTCGTATCGGGACTACCCAAGGCACGATCGGGACATGATGCTATATGGGTAATTGTTGACCGACTCACTAAGTGTTCCCACTTCCTGGCCATCAGAATGACTGATCCCTTGGACAAGTTGGCAAGAATGTATATCCGGGAGGTAGTCAGACTGCATGGAGTTCCAGTAACAGTGGTATCCGACAGGGATCCCAGATTCACTTCTCGGTTTTGGAATAGTTTCCAGCAAGCTATGGGAACAAAGCTGTCTCTTAGTACTGCTTTCCACCCCCAAACCGATGGACAATCAGAGAGGACAATTCGTACGCTGGAGGATATGCTCCGAGTTTGTGTCCTTGACTCCGGGGGCCATTGTGACGACCACCTACCCCTGATAGAGTTTGCTTACAACAACAGTTACCAAGCAAGCATCGGCATGGCCCCATACGAGGCGCTATACGGGCGTCCGTGCAGGTCGCCGATCTGTTGGGAGGAAGTGGGCGATAGAAGATTGTTTGGCCCGGATTTGGTAGAAGAAACCACGTCCAAGATAGTTAAGATCAAGAAGAACATCCAGATAGCTCAGAGTAGGCAGAAGAGTTATGCCGATACCTGAGAAGAGACCTGGCTTTGAGAAAGGCGACCGGGTGTTTCTTAAAGTCACCCCTTTCAAGGGAATTAGTAGGTTCGGCAGGAGGGGAAAATTAAACCTCATATATATTGGACCCTTTGAAATCTTAGACAAGATTGGTACCACTGCCTACAGACTTGCACTGCCTCCTGAGCTCTCCCGGGTTCATAATGTGTTTCATGTATCTATGCTACGTAAGTACAATCCGGACCCTCCTCATGTCTTGGCTCACGAACCGCTTCCACTCCGAGAGGACTTGTCTTATGAAGAAGTATCGGTCAGTATCACGGACCGAGAAAGCAGAATACTCTGCAACCGGGAAATATCATTTGTAAAAGTCATGTGGCAGAACCACACGCCCAGGGAGGCGACTTGGGAACTGGAATCAGAATTTAGGGCCCAATATCCCCATCTGTTTGATCAAGAGTAATGAGGCAAATTTGGGGACCAAATTTCTTTATGGGGGGGAGAGTTGTAGCGCCCGGACCGGGAAGAAAAAAAGAAAGAAAAAAAAAGCCACGTCGGCAGCCACGTCAGCAGGCCCGGTCAGCAATCCCGGCCAACCGAGACCTGCCACGTGGCAAAACTACGTCGTTCCAAAAAGGGCCACGTTGGCGATCCGCGTGGGCGCGATCGGACGGCCCAGATTAAAACAAAATGGACGGCTGAGATCAAAAGGCAAGGGGTTATAAATAGAACCCCCACACCAGACCACAAACCCTAGCCGCCTACCGCTCGCCGGAGAAGACGAACCAGAAGTCGGCCGCCGCCACCCGCCGCCGCACCGGAGGAACTTCCGACCGCCGATCGAGGTAAATTTCGTACCCCCGACTCGTTTTTCCACGATGATTCCTCCTGTGGCCAAATCGGAGCCAAAATCCCGGCCAAACGGCCGGAATGCACGGTGGAAGCCCAGCGGCGCCGCCGCGCCCTTCTCTGTTTTTGCCTCTGATGAGGCCCTTCTCGGCCTCCGTTTGATGCAATTTTTATATCACCGTGATCACCACTCTTTTCTCTACAGGTTGACCGGAGCCGAATCACCAAAACACAAACCTCATCGGAGAGCCGCTGCACCCGAGAGCGCCACCGCCGGTAAGCTCCGTTTTTTCGTGATTTTTTGGCCCCCCGAGGGCCCTAGGGTTGTTTTCTCGCAGGGACCGATGCGAGTGTGGCCAAATTCGACCGAAAACGGCCGAAAACAGCCAACCCGAGGCGAATCGCCGCCACCAGCGGCGGCGCCTTTGCCGGAGCACGGCGGAGCCGCCGTGCCGGAGTTGCGATTTGGGCCGAAAGGGGCCCTGGGCCTAATTTGAGATTTTTTTAGAACACGTGCAGGTACCAGTAGTGCGTTTCAGTTCCCCGAGGAAAATTCAGGAAAAATTAGGGACAGCCTGCAAGCGCACTGTGAAGCCGTGTTCGGACCCCGAAACGAGTAAGGACCCCTCACCCTATTTCCTATCACGGTTTTAAAGTCCAATAAATGATAAAACGGTATTTCATGAATCAACGAATGTGTGAAATTGCTTAAGGTCGCTAATGGAGCCCGAGTCTAGTGTGTTTATCGGTTAACTGTTATTTGGCCTGTTTTACAGTTTTGAATACAGCATGAGGTTCGATGTTTTCATTTTATAGTTTCGTGTGCATATTTTACTGTTTTATTGATTATGGATTGAATGACTGGGATATTGGTGCTATATGTTGTCTGTTTGGCATAAATTATCGTTTTGCTTGTTTGTATGTGATTGATAATGCTGACTGA